AACACTCGTATGTTAGGGCACTCGTATCTCGAGGTACCACTGTATTTCTATTTGATAATGTCCTACATTTCCCTTGAATGGCCGACATTTTGCAGTGCCTTGTCCTCCTTTGCGGTTAGGACATCTGGTCACCCTGCCCAAACCATTTCGGGGATATGGATGAGGGATTCCATTGGTTCACAATTAATACATTTACACATTTAGGTAATGCATTTACACTCTCCAAACTTAAACATAAAGCGGAACACGTTTGGACCTGTATCAATGCAAAGTCTGTGACACAGTTTACTCTCCCCAGCTCCCACAGGCAGGGAAGTATGGAAGCATGGAAAAATCATACTTTTGGGTACATAATCTGGCTGAAAAATTCAGGCAATATTTTAAAAATAGCATTTGGTGGGATGGAGGAGGTTACGGCATGTACTTGTCTTTATGCAAGATAATTCATCCAGTCTCCTCCTGGTTTAAATGCACAGTGCGGTCACTCTGGATGAGAGGTCCTGGGGATTAATAATCCCAGACCGTAAAAGCCAAGAGAACATGACTGTGAAGGCAAGGTGACCAGATGTCAAAATGGAGGACGTTTTGGAATTCCTCCTGGCCAGAAGGTAGAAATGTAGGACGTGTCCTGGAATAGGAGAGCGTTTGGTCACCCTGGGTGAAGGGAGCCCTATGCCTTTGCCAACCTTATCTCTCTCGCTCGTACCTGCCGTGGGTTCAGGAGACGCCTCCCTCTCGGTCTCTGAGCGGTCCTGGGGGCATTCGATGGGCAGCTCCTCCGCCGGTTCCTCCTTCACCACAACCTTGCATCCTGCAGCATCCCACCCTGAGGCTGGAAGGAGGAGACCCCCATCAACAGAGACTGGATTCAACCCAAGCCCCCTCGCCTCCCCACCACATTCCTGGCCCCCAAAACCAGAAGGCTGGAGGACAACCCCCAAGCCTCTCACCTGGGCCGGAGGACTCCCTCATCCTGCCCTCCATCTCTTTATCGGTGGTGGTGGCGGTGGGCTTTCTGGCCACACAAGCCTCCTTCCCTCTCAGCCCAGATTAACGCCCACCGTCCACTTCAACGCAACCTGTTGAACAGAAGAGAGAAAAGAAAGGTTCGCGTGGAAAGAACAAGATTCCTCTGAAACGCTGCCTACTTTGCAACCAAGATGCAGAGCCCACATTGCTGGAGGACATGCCTGCGTGGCGCTGCGTTGCACAGAATCCTATGGCCAAAAGGCACCCCAGAGGTCATCTATCCCAACCCCCAGGCTTACCAGGCAGAGCAGGGCATGGCCAAACGGAGCCGGACGGGGGACATTTCCACTGGGGGTGGGACCAGGACACCCCCCAAAACCTTCTCATGACGATAGTGTAGCCCATAATTGCTATGCGCTCCCCTGGAAAAGCCAGAGGCACCCTCGGAGCCCCATAGGAGTCCCTTTCAGCGCCCCACGGCGTCCGCTTTTCCCGATCTGCGCATTCGCAGAGTTTGAGACCTGCAAGGAAGGGAAAGGGAGCCATTAAAGAAAGGGCCTCCGGTCTCAACGATTGGCATTCCACAGTTCTGTGATTGTTTGCCTGTGTGCTAATTAGTACCACTGCTCATCAACACAACAAAGTCCTGGATTATTATTATTATTATTATTATTTTCACATGTTATTGTTCAGAAATAAAAAGAGCAGGGGAAAGACTGGACCCAAACTAAGAAGCTCCATTTTTAAACGATGGACCCTCATTTGGGTGCAAAGGAGGGAGTCATGCCACTCGCCAGATGTTGCTAGATTGCATCTTCCAACATTCTTCACCCCACTGGGGATGATGGGACTTGCAGTCCAATAGCCACACAACTCCCTCCTGTGTGTTAAACAGCATAATACTTTATATCTTTACTCTAGTCTTGTCTTTCTGCTTCAAGTATTATTATATTTTTCTGGCTCATTTATATTGATTTATGCCCTAACTTTAAGGATGGGGACCCAGGATGCATAGTCCAAAAAACCAACCAAATAATACAGTATAAAGAATTCAGCGCAAAAACAGCAGAAACAAGTAAAACCATCAGTAAAATAATGAATTCCAAGAAATGGGGGTCTGTGAAAACCTTCACAAAATGGGGTCCTGAGGAACCCACCTTCCAGCACAAGCTTGTTCCAAAGGTGTAGGATTAATTGTTTCTTAAATAAATTGTATACAGTTGGAAATATTTTTTAAAATATATAAATTCCAAAAGCAAATATATATATATATATATATATATATATATATATAAAATATTTCATTTTACCAAAATCCATAGATGCTCAAGTCCCATAAAACACAAAGTCACAGTAAAATTGTGTCTCTTATATAAAAGGGCAAAATTGATTTTTGTCTTTTGGATTTTTAATATATATATATATATATATATATATATATATATATATATATATATATATATATATATATATATATATATGTTGAAGCCTTGGGTGGTTGAATCCGTGGATGCAGAATCTGTGGATCCGTGGATCCGCAGTGCGTCAGTTTTGTACCTTTCTAACTATTACGACTCCTGGGATATGTAGTTTGGGGAGAAGGTACTCTGAATTCTCAAAACTCAGGTTCAGAGGACAGAGAACTAGAGATCCCCTTTGCTGTGCGCCTTCAAGTTCTTTCCTACTTATGGTGGCCCTATATTATCTTAGCAAGATTTTTTTCCAGAGGGAGTTTGCTGTTGCTTTTCCCTCTGAGGCTGAGAGAATGTGACTTGCCCATGGTCAGTCAGTGGGATTCCATGGCCTGCTGGACATTTGAACCCTGGCCTTTGTCTTATCAATTAAATTTCTATGCTGTACTGGCTCTTCTCTTCAAGTCGAGGCAACTTATGGGGACCCCTTTCTAGGGTTTTCTAGGGCATATGACTTGCCTAAGCGGGGATTCGAACCCAGGTCTCCAAGAGTTACAGTCCGACGCTCGGACCCCAACGCCACGCAGGCTTTCTAGATTCAATAACCATTCATCAATCGATGGAATTTCCCCCCGATTTCTAATATTTTGCCCATAATTTTCTATCTGAGATAAGGGAAAATAATCATAAAGAGCTGAGCTTTATGGGTTTTAAACCGCTGAGGCTGTGAAATGACAGGAAAACCAGGAGTTCCGACAGACAGGCTTTTAAAACAGCAGGATTTTTTAAAAATAAAATTTATTATTGTTAATAAAACCGACCTACACAGATTCAATTGGACAGCTTTGCATATTTCAAGAGAATGTCCATTTCATTATACATTTCATTATAGCAGAAAATTTACCATAAATATGAAAAGAAAGAGGCAACTTTAACTACTTTCTAAGATTCTAGCTTCACAGAACTTTTGTTTGGTTCAGTATTCCCAATTTCTGATTTTCCTGTCATTTTTCACAGTCTTCTTAACAGTTTAAAATCCATAAAGCTCAGCTCTTTATGCTTATTTTCCCTTATCTCAGCTAGGATATTATGGGCAAAATATTAGAAATCGGGGGAAAAAATAACCATTGATTGGTGAATGGTTATTGAATCTAGGAGACGTGTGTGAAATGGATAAATTAAACAATAAAGATTTGAATAATATTGAAAAAAGAATGGAACCCCATTCTAGAATTATGCAATTTGAATATCTGAAGATAAA